AAGGAGCCAACTACACCCTGAAGCTCCTTGGTTCTTTTTCCCTACTTTCCCTTTATGCCATGAGGGCCAGATCCTCACAGCTGGAATACAGTTGCCCAAAGCAATAGGCAAAACATTCCCAATACAAGTCATGGACCTCATGTACCTCCCTACCTGCAGCTGAGCTTGAGATTTGCACTCTGACATATGCTAAGCAGCTGTCCATTTTCATGATAAAAGATACCACCGTGTTGTGCCACTATGAAATACTTACCAAATGCTCTAAGCTGCCAAGACAAACTCTTTCTGTTTCTACTGGGTCAGAAGCAATTGCACCTTGTTAACCAAGCTGTATTACCACCAGTTCCTAACTGCACTCATCGCTTGTGCAGAAGGAAGACACTGAGTTCAAACAGCTGGAAAAGGCACTTCCTAGTTTCTGTAAAACATACATATATTACAACTTGACTGTTCTCCAATATTTATGGATCTCAACTGCCTCCACTTCATTATACCACCAGAGAAGAAAAAGTGCAATAATCCCCTTTATGTCTCCTGTAATTGAATCCAACTATGATTATAATATATTGTGAGCACTTGAAGCACCTATTAATTATTGAATGCTTGCTTCATAATGAACTAGAATGTCCTCTCTGATACGCCAACTTCTTCATATATTCTTTTATCACTTCCAAGATCCCAAAGAAGTGGTCCATCCATCCTTTAAAATGAATAAAATCAATATAAGTGATTTTAGTTATCTCCCCAACACACTGTAGGCTTCGGGATCCAAGCTGTCCTTGGATCAGACAACTCAGTGCTCTTTCCTGAAGTTTTTAAGAATGGCACCTATGTTACATTCATCAACAATGATAAAATGTCTCAGTATAATGAGAGGAGAATGGAGGTGCCAATTTTTTAACAGTACATTAAATTGAGGAAATGGTAATTTTAACAAAAACATCAGCTTAGAAAAACTGCAGCAACTTTTTAACAGACAGAGGGCCAAGTTTTCTGTTGATAAGGTGCCAACTCAAGTGCATTCTTCCCAACAGAACATGTCCTGCAAATGTATCCCTCCCATGCTCTCTTGATTGGAAAGCAGAAGGAGAGCATGCTGCTCGTTGCTTGGTTTCCTCAACTAATAGCACTGCTCATGATGTTGAAAGCTGTTATACATCATCCTGAGAGTGACCTCATCTTAGAAGTGGCTGAAGTAACCTGTATAAAGTACTTTGAGAATTTATTTATTTTGAAAGGCCTATTTAACACGTAGCATCGCTCTCTACAGAAAAAACAACTACATCTAGGGTGGAATGTAGTAGCTGTTTAATTAATACTGACGAGCTGATTCTCGCAGATACAGATTTTGGGAATAATACCTCTTGGAGCAACCCACATAATGTATTACATCATTTAGCTAGGAGTAAATGGTGCTTATATGTCATCTTATTATGGCATCTGGCCTCCAGTAGAGGAGTATGGATGTTCTCCTATCACAGTCTGTGGCAAAACACTCAGTTAAATGCAATTAAGGTAGATTTGGGCACCTAATCAGGTTACAGTAATGACTCATGATGACTGAACTCCAAGATTACTGATCAGGGAACAGCTCACATAATCAGAGCAGAGCTGTTATCTTGTTTCTGCAGCTGAATGTGCTGTCAGTCTGCACCCAGCTGGAGCTGCAGTGGAGGGTGGGCTGTGAGCTGCAATGATTGCTCCTACTTAGGAAGCACTCCAAGTTTCTATTCTGCTCATAAAGATGAATCAAAATATCAAACACTGTTATCATTTTCCTCAGGAGTCTTAATTGCTTTTGCCAAAAATAATTTCCAAAAGGAATATTTTTTGATGATGAAACTGCTAAAGTGGTATTAAAGTAGCAAACAAGTGAATAACACAATATGCTTATGCTAGATCAGGTGGAAAATACTCCCACTAGAGCTAATATCAATTTACATCCTGTAGCCTGAGGGTGTGGATCTATTCCAGGGCTGTGATTTTTTTTTTTTTTCCGCTATTAAAAACACAATTTTGCTCAATCCTTTCATTTTAAGAATGAGGATGAATATTAAAATTTTCAGTGCAGCATGTTCTTCTGCAAGCATGCACACCTCATGCACGCATAGTAAACCTAAGCACGTGACGGTGTGTGTGAAGAAAATACCAACCTACAGTGAGTACTTCAGAAAATAGAATGGTGCTTTGCTCTCCTTCCTGCTTTTGACAATATGAAACTCTTGGAACATAGCACAGTGTTTTAAAATAACAAATATATTTGTTTAAATATGCTCGGATGTTGCATTTTCTTTGTACTCCTTGGTACAACTGATGTAAACTTACAGCAAACAGGATGTTGTCAGATAATACTAGGTCAATACAAGTAACTAGGTTAGGCTTCCATCCTACAGTTGATTAAATCATCTGCAACACATTCAGTGCTAATAAAACTGCTAGATGTCTCTGCTGTGATCAGCAGGTCACTTACACAAAGCACATCCCCCCCCAAACTAGTACCTTTTGTACAGAAAACTGCTAGTCATCATGCAAAGAAGGAGGAGGAAGACAGAATACTTGATACCACTGACCACTGTAAGAATTTACAATACAGGAGATGGATGAGGAGAGAGGAGCTTCAGGCTCTAAATAAAGCAGTGTTTTCTAGTCTTTACATGACTATCATTCTTGTGTTGAATTTGGTCTACTGGAGTACTAGAATAAATTCCCATAGAAGCAATGCATTCAACAGCACTTCTAATTGGGGTCACTTTTGCTAATTTGCAGAATGCTTCATGGCTTGGCCTCCCACTTGCTTCGTCGTGACCTGAGGGCATTCATTCACCTCTAGAGGATCATGGCTCATATACAAACAAGAAACTACGCAAAGTTAAACATACCTTGAGTTACAGAGGAAGAAGTAGGTCAGCTGCAAACAGCATAGGAAGATATCACATAAATACTGGGGGAATCCTGTGCTATGAGGCAGTGAATGAACAAAGCAGCACGATAGCAAAGGGTGACTACAAACAAAGCCATGGAAAACTCCAGGTTAATTTAAAAACAAACAAGGAAGAAAGAAGTTTGCTTTCAGAAGTATGCCATATATTCTGCAGTACCTTTGCAACAATTTTTTGAAGTATTTACAAACAAGATCCTGTGATAAGAAGGAAAGATACTTGTTAAGCATGGTGCACAACCTGTATTTTTTGTGCTGAAAAGACTTGACATACAAACACAATCTCTGCTCAGCAAGTTTCTTTTTATGGTAGTGAACTATTCTTTATAAACAATACAACAACACTGAGACCTATTTCTTAACACTGTCTGCACAGTAAACATTGAAGAAAAGACAAGATAGCATGAAAACAAAATTCAACCTCTTGCAAGTAAAGGAATCATGTTTTTCTGTGCTTAACAATAGTTGGACAGATGAATCAATCTGGGACTGGAAAACACAGTCCTGGACTGAACTCAGCATTGTGTTCAAAGTCCAAAAAGCCCTCAGAGCCCAAACTTCCAGATTTTGGTCATCAGAGCAGTAATTGTTTTAATCTGTTTTTCTAAACTTCAACACCATGAAAATAAAATGAAAGAAAATTCTCTTATACAATAGCATTCAGAAAACAACGACTGTGAAACATTTACCTGTTTAACAAAAATAAAATGCATATATTTTAGGTTAGGACTTACTTTAGAAAATACATTTCAAAGCACTATTGCACAAATATAATAAAAAAGTTGCCAAGACTCTGTTTAGTTTTCAAAATATTACAAAATTCACTTTAGATATAAGTACCCAAAATTGATATTAATAAAACAATCAATTAAAACTAACTTTTATCTTTGAGCCAACTAAAAATATAAATGTCTCCTTGAATAGCTAAATATTCAAACAGACTGCATATTTAAGCTCAGAAAGTAACATTTTTATATGAGCAATCTTTTTGCAGAATAAAACACTAGGTTTCTAGATATGACATTTATACTACAGACCCCACTTTACCTGAAAACATTGTAATCCTCTAATTAACTGAACAGTTGATTAGACACTTCTCTAAAATCCTGTTCAGAATTATTTGGTTGGTCAGCAATGGTTTTTTTTTGGCCTCAGAAACACTGTTGATGGAAACCAAACATTTGGACCCCCTAACCTTCCAATGTTTCCTTACATTTTTTGGTTGGCCAACTCTCTAACTCTGAAACTCCCAGCAAGCAGCCTGATTTTTTTTTTTCCCAACCATAAAGAATTTTCTTAAAAATTCAAACAACATTTGAAAACTGCTAAGAATTACTTTACAATATTTCCTCCTAGCCTGGTGTGTAAATGACCACGTTTCAACTACTTCCTTGCTTTGAATGAGCTGGACTATTTGGCATTGGGGAAAACAAAGTGATTTTTACTCAAAACAACTGTATTTCTCTCCTAAATCCTGATGATACTACCAGAACCCATAATTTAGCACAATATACAAAGAGGTCATACATTATGACTAGTCAGTTCTACCTTTTTTTTTCTTCTTTATTACCAGCATGTTTTCTCCTTTCCGTAACAGTATTCTCATCGACCTCATTTTACAAAGCATCAAGCAGGAAAGACAAATAAGAGTGCTTCTGAGCCTTACATGTTAAAATGACAGAAAACAAGAGTGTATGAAATAACTGACCTGAGTGCCCACTTGTTTACCCTAAATTCCTGATGATTCGAGGCAGCTCTGAGCATTGGTATCACATTCAACAATTATAATTATGACAGAGTAATATATTTCTCACAGTAGTGTATTTTCCAGCTAATATCATATACATATAGCTCAGGATTCTTTGGTCCAGGATTCTATAGCAAAATGGCACTTACATGGCATGGGTAAAATATAGTAGAATGGAGAGGATTTTTCTAGATTACCTAGCAGCCACTCACAAAAGAAGATTTAAGATCTACAGTTAAAGTTTAAGCCTAATAGCTACAGTAATTGATTAGTTCTCCATGGATTTTCTTTGGTCATTGAGGTGTGTACAGAAACTACAGGAGATTATTTTATTGGGTAATTTTCACAGCGCAGCAGGATACCTTGACAACGGTTTGGATGCTGCCCTCTTGACAAAGACCATGGGGGAGGGATCAGAGTGAAGGAAATTCAACCAGCAGAAACCCCGCATAACAAGTAGGGTGTAGGGTTTTTCCTTCCTGGGAAAGAGGCAAGAATTCTGGCACTACAACTTCTGAGGTCTCCTGGGGTAAAGAGTCTTCTTTATTGTGAGGCCCTGATCACTTCAATTCTAGAGGTATCAGAAACTTTACCCAGCGTCCTGTCCACTTTGTTCCATGTAATAGCTAGCATGTTGAAAAGGGCTCACTGAAATGTGGTTTTATCATGTTTTTTGAGCCAAATAGGACCGAAGCATTAAGCAGCAGATCCATAATTGTTGCACACTGCTTTTGTTTTGGGGGTGGACGCAAAACAGTTGAAAGTAAATATGAAGGCGATGAAAGTTGCAAGCTGAACAGATCCTGAAAAAGGTCTCCTTTTAATCCATAGGTCAAGTCTTGTACAGACCACAGCAACTATCACAACCCTTGCCAAAGCAGTAGAAAAGTGAGTTGGAGGGACCTTTTCTATGGTGAGAACCAGAGTTCATGAAATCAATGGGAGAGCAGGAAGTGGACACGGCTCATGCCATTGCAGAAACTAAGCTGAGACCTGCCGTGCTTTCTGTATCTGTAATCTAAAAAAAAAAACAACACAGCTTCTAATTTCTTATGAACCAGCAATAGCCAAGAGAGAGCTTGTTCAGATGTCTGTCTTTACTCTTGACTCAGGTCTCACTTGTTTTCAGTTCCAAATATCTTCTTCTGATACCACACTCAGCTTGCCCTCAGGAAGTCAGACATGAGTGTGACTCTTCCAAACCCTAGGCCAAGGTTTACAAGGGTGTTTGGCTTGTCTCCATTGTTGGGTGTTGCATTTCAGGCACCTCATGTGGACCTGATTTTCAGAATGTTAATGCTCTGCACTTCATAAAAACAGAAGCCTCTGAGCCCCCTCTAACTGGATTCATTAAAATTAAGGCACTCAAAAACTGCTAGCTAGTTTTGAAAATCTAACCCATAACTAAAACAGGCTGAACCACAAGAAAAGCAGGAATAACAGGTAACCATAGAAAGATCCATGTGTTGCTGTGCTCAGGGTACTTAAAGTGTAAACTTTATTCACGTAGTAGTGACATTGTTAATGGCAAAAGGGTTTGCCCTTTACGTCCAGTAACCATATTTTACTCTGTATCTCCTGAGAGCAGGAGTTTGTATAAGCAATGAGGGGGAGGAGGGGGGGCCAAAAAAGAGTTGATGGATTACCAGTTTTTCTTCTTGTGGTGAATTCAGCTGTCTGGAATGGTGAATGTTAGTACAGGAGGAAAAGAGATAGTTATCTTTTGTCAAAGCTGTGATATAGCAAATGTTAATATAATCTCAAAGGGAGGTATAGTTCAGAATATCTTAAAAAACAGATAAAACATATCCTGAAACAAAGGTTGCTTTTAACTACATGTAAACAGTCTTTGATCAATCAACAGAATCCCTAGGAAGGGCTGATGTATCACAGAACTTAACACAACATCCCTACCACAGTTGAGTAAGTGCGTAAGCTTTGCTCACAGAAAAAATGCTAGCAGTTCTCAGGAAGATCCAACTGAAATGATTAGAAATGAACATTTTTGTATAAATTATCACAGTCCTCTCCTTCTGAAGGCTGTTAATTGATACAGAGTGAAAAGGATCGGTACTGCTGCTCTATGAATGCATTTGATATCAGATAGAAATTCCTCCTGAGGGTCGTCTTCATATTTCATGGCTTTTCAGCTTCCTCTGCTGCATCCTCAGACAAACCTACAAAGGAGAAAGAAGATGCTTAAAAATTGGCAACTGCATACATTCTATTGTTGATTATTGGTTTGTAAGAGCTTTGGTTATAGCCAGAGGAAACAATTTATTACAAGCAAAACAGGATAACAATCATAACTTGCAAATTCAAGAACTCGCAAGCTTAGGAATATAAAAATTAAGGCAATGAGGGCAATTTCATATCAACTCCTTTATGTATACAATGGATAATGCCATCTTTAACTTATAAAATTGTGGACTACCCTTAAATGTGAGGAAAAAATGGCAGAGAACAACTAGGCATACAATCTGACACACGTGGTTCTCTACTTCATCTTTGCCTGCATCTTTTCACAGGTGGAATTAGCAACACAAATTGAAAACAGTATAAAATTACTCTCTATAAACTTATTAACGACTAGTTGTTTTAATATAAAACTAAGACTTTGGAAAACTGGAAAATAGCAAAACCCCTGTACAGAAGGTAACTTCTGGTTTAAACCAGGAAAGGATGAGTTTCTTGTTTTCAAGTATAGTGCAAAGGTTAATTCAACTTGGATTGGATATTAATTTTTGCAACTATGAGCCTAAAAGAATCAGAAAAGTGGGCAGAAACCCACATAAAGTTGCTTGAAATGTCTACAGAGAAAAGGAACAGTGGATAATCTTGCAAATTTGTATATGCACATACTTTCATGACTTAATTAAAGTGATTATTTAACCCAGCAGTTTCTTACATGTCCACTATTACTTTAGGCTGAAAATTATTTAACTTAAATCCTTTTATAATTAACATTAAGCAATCCAAAATAAATTGGTACTATATCCGAATGATACATGAATAATAATACAAATAACACACAGCTTTTAGCCATCTCTACGGGAGGCTTAAATCCCTACACATCCAATAGGTCAGCAGCAGAATTAAATTTGATTATCCAGGTCTTCTGATCACAGGCCACTGAATTGTCTGTAGGCCCAAATGCCTTCATAATCACACAGAATTCACACAGAATTTATCACAAACAATCTACATCATGTAAGAAAATAATAATAAACTAAACGCTGTCATCTGCTGTCATTTAGATCCAAGCAAGTCCAGGTGAACAACAACATCTACATTGCTTTCTCTTGTTTTATTTTTCAGCTTTTGGTTTGCTCTATCAATGTCCTTCAGTGCTTGGGGATTTCAGCATATGCACGAATGGTTTTCATAGCTGCTGGTAAGTTAAACAAATTTTACCTCAAGCCTTGAGATTGAAGCAAAGCGTCAGTGAGGCTAACAGAGCAGATCAAAGATAAAATTGCCAAGATACAAAAGACTAAAGCAGTAACATTTAAGCAACAGCTGGAAGCCCAAGCCCCCCAAGGGACTCAGAGGTCCCCCTTACTGAAGTTTGTTGTTTTTTTTTTTAAAGGACAATTCAAAACACTATGTTAAGAGCTGATACGGGTTTACAAAGGTCAACCCTCAAATGGCAGTTCCTTTGTTCCAAACTCTTACGAGACAGCACATGCTGGGATGCTGAAGGGAACAGCAGCAGGTCCCATGTTGTTCCATTAATGATCTAGAGGATGGAGGTTGGTGGCATGATAATGAGATGTGTGGAAGGTAGGAAACCCTGATGAGCTATAGCCACTTTGGAGAGGAGAAAGAATTATTGCTCTAGGACCCGAGAGATTAACAAGGCTCAGAGAAGATAAGATTCCATTTAAAATACATTATGGGACTAATCTCAAACACAGATGCTTGCTGAGGAAAGCCCCACAGAAGTAGCACAGTAGAAAGAGCTTAGAAGACATGCATTCACAGTGAAATGGGCCACGTAGCTCAATGCAATTCAGAACCACAGAAGCCACTGCAGAGCCCTCAGTTCCTGTTCCTGACTATGTAGCTTTGCTGAAATCACATCTGCAGCTATTTACAGCTCTCTGCGCTACATAAAAATACACTGGAGAATGCCTTCCTTTCCCACTACAGTCAGGGAAGAGTTTGCAAACTGCTTTCTGCACACTCTTAGAGAAGCTGGACACACACATAGTGAAGAAACAGCAAAAAGTGGTATGCTTATGTCAGCTGTTTGTCCCCAAAGAGAGAGGCCAAAGATTTACCAAAGTGACCCAAAGGCACTGAGCTGTGTGTCAGCACTGCCCACTGGGTTGCACACCTCAAGATGAGTGACAGTATTACTACACAGTGCCCACAGTGTGTGCACAACTACATCTGAGGATGTTAGCTAGAGGACATTTGGAGATAAACAGGAAGAAAGTAGTGGAGAGGCTTTGAAGAATCCTGAGAGAGAAGAAATCTTCGTGAAAAGGCTATAATTGCCTAATGTATCTTTACCTTTAGTAGAAGGAAGCCATAGGATTAAAAATTAAAATTCAATTCTAAAATTATAAAGCAAAAATCATTACTGGGGACATAAAACAGCACCCTGCATACCGCTTTCACAGACTGCTACTTCCATGACATGGACTTCTTGCAAATAATTCCTGTGTCTATTTCTGTAAATTGCTGTGCCAAAATGAGGAGTGTGAATGGTTACTTTCAAGTCCGGGAAACACAGTGGATCAGCTAAACCTGATATGTTAGCTGTAATCATGGGCTGGCAAAACTGACACAATATAGCAGGAATTACTTCGGCTTCACACAGCTTTGCCTGACTGCACTGTACACAGCTACAGGTAACCTGGAATACTGCTGCATCAATCAAAGAACTCCTACATGAGTAAATTGTGGGAGAGATGAACTGACAGATGAGGTATGGACTGCAGCAATTTTTATTGTGTAACTCTAAAATGGGAGGCAATATGAAAACACAGCTTGCGATCATGAGCCTTCCCACCTCTACCCTGTATTTTTCAATATGCAGCATTTATTAGTCAGCCAGGAGAACAACATAAATTTCACATTATTTGAACTACAAATATGCTATTTGTAGCATGACTAATATCAGAGAGGTTTCTCATCAGTTTATCCTGACAAGCTTAGGCAGAACTGAACAAATACCTGGTATAAAATTAAAAATTCTGTAGATGAAGGCTCCTCCATCTCATTTCAACAGGAAATTAAATAAATAAATAAATAAATAAAATAAAAGCCTTTATCTTATCATTTTACTTCCATATTTCCCATTAGAAAGACCTAAGTATTTCATTTTAGAGATAATACAAAAATCCCAACAGGACGCACAGTATGTTATATAGTATATTATATAGTATATTATATATAAATGTATATTAAAGGGTTTATACCTCCACAGTTACAAACTGGGAAACAGTGCTTTTGGAAATAACCATAAAAAACTTTAACCCTTGTGCAGTAGGCAACCCCTAGAGTTTTTGGAGATAAGTTTTCAAAATTTAAAGCACGTGATTAAATTGATGCCTGATTAATAACATGAGATTGCATGTATCTCAAGCTAAAAATAGAGTCTACCTTTATCCAGTTCATAAAATCCTCAAATTATGTTGTGTATTTCTCAGTCAGAGCACATTAGCAGCCCTGTGAAAGTCATTTCTATAAGCAAAGACATGGAATATTTCAGTCATGCCAATTCACCCCTCAAAAAGCACGACTTAATGCATACTACGTATAACTGAGTCACAGAAAGTTCATTTGTAGATCAAAATGTATTTTTTGAGCATTGAAAACTGAAAACCGAAAGATCAAAGAAAATCAGTTACAGCAAAGACAGAAGAAAAAAAACCAAACACGCTTCCTGGAACTAAAAAAAAATATAAAATAAATTAAAAGGAGGGATGATATTTGAGCATGACGGAATTAAGGGAGCAGAAGGGAGGCAAAAGGATCATTTTCTGTAGTCATAAATTGTTCATACTAAACATTATGGTGTAAGGTTTAAAGATGTTCAGGTTAAACCATTAGGCAATGGAAGAAACTACCTAGGGTGGTGGATAAGTCAAGGATATGAGAGGTTTGTCAAGACAGGGTAGAAGAAACCCTAGTGGGGATTAGTGAAGAAGATACACAGCTTTCAACTGGGTGACCTAAGGGATCTTCTCCAATCCTATCATTTATGCTGCTATGATTCATCCTAAGAAGAACATTTTGGACTCTCATGAATTACTGGCCGAGTTTCTTGGATACTATTGTACATTAGTCTACTCTGAAGCATGCATACAACTAAGTCAAAGTTGGCTTTGAAGTATTTAATCTACGGTATTCAACACTTCCCAGTCTCTCTTCCATACAGTGACTCAGAAAAAGGGCTGTTAAAACAAGAGAACAAAAAGTTATTTTGAGTTCAGATTAAGAGAAGGGAGGCACCACTTTCTTCAGCTCTTCCCACCAAAAAGAAAAGAGGAAAAAAACACCCCATCTCATGGCCTGACGGGTAATTTTGCTATTTGTAGATCAGACATAAAACAGCTTTAAAAGAAACTACAGTTTTCAAGTAACTTCTTCATAAAATTTTGGATGCAAAACTAGATGTTCCAAATGGCCAAACTGAATAGCTCTTTTTGCTTTTTGTGTGTGTGTGTGTGTTAACAAAAGACAGATTTTTCCTAGCACCTTCAAGTCATGTTTCCAGAAATCATAATTTTCTTCTCAGAATGCCATCTTCTCACTGCTAATAATCGTGATTAACATTATAAACTGCCTGAGAAAGTATATACAGCTTCCTTTTTCTTAGCATGTGATCTTTATTCTATGGACACGATCCAAAAGGCTTTTCAGAAAGTTTAAGAACGTAACAATATCTTGCTTGTCCCAATTTAGCCTGGAGTGCAAAAGGGATTAGTGTGAAACCACTGACTTTAATGCAGTGCTGAAGATTGATCATGATGGACAAGCTACAAACTTTCCTAAAGTGTATTCTTACATGAGAAATTGGACTTGATCAGTGTTTGATACCACTTTCTGTGGAATAATAAACTGAAAGTGAGCTCTACCGTTCCCTCTCAAGCCACCAGTGAGCCACTGATCACTGCATACATGCTTTTGAAATGATCAGACTTTTGAATCTGAAAGGGGAGTG